TCCCAAAGTGCTGGGACTATAGGCATGAGCCATCATGCCCGGCCAACTGTTTCATTTTAAAAGAAACACAGGGGAGGAAGATTTGTAGTTTAAGCTGAACAGGAGAGAAAAGCCACTTTGATATATACATATGAAGCACAGATTGCCAGTGCTTGCTAAGTTGTATCCCACATAGTATTGGCTGCCTCTTCATATTTACACCCGTTCAGCCCAAGCAGTGAGTGTGGAAAAGTGAATTGTTAAACATTAGAGAACTCTGAATATTGGCATTAAATGTAAATACATTAACTTAACATCTTCGACTTATCCTGAAAAACCTTGCCAAACCGATAATGCACATTCTCCTGAAGACAGGAAAAGAGAATGCCCACAACTCTTCCTGTCACTCAGGGTCCTGGCTGAATGGACCCTCCTGTTACTCTGACTCTTCTCAGAGAAAAGCAGACTTGGCAGGGTGCGGTGGCTCACACCTGTAATCCCAGCACTTTGGAAGGCCAAGGCGGGTGGATCGCTAAAGGTCAGGAGTTCAAGACCAGCCTAGCCAACCTGGTGAAACCCTGTCTCTACTAAAAATACAAAAATTAGTTGGGCATGGTGGCGGGCACCTGTAATCTCAGCTACTCAGGAGGCTGAGGCAGGAGAATCACTTGATATCACTTGAACCCAGGAAGGGGAGGTTGCAGTGAGTTGAGATTGCGCCACAGCACTCCAGCCTGGGTGACAGAGGGAGACTCAGTCTCAAAAAAAAAAAAAAAAAAAAAACAGACTTATGGTTGCTTCTTAGCTTCTTTCTAGAAGGGACCTAGGCACGTGCCACCAGGAGACCCTAGAGGACCAGCACAAAATGGAAAGCACATGTGCCTTCTGGGATTCTCCCAGCGTCCTTCACACTTGTACCAAGGCACCTGCTTGATCTGTAAGTAAAGCTGTCAGAGAAGCTGCAGCAAAGGCGGTGGGCTCCAGATTCCTAATTCCCTAAAGCAGTGGTTCTCAGCTAGGGTATTTTGCCCTGAAGGGGCATGTGGGAAAGTCTGGATACGTTTTTGGTTGTCATGACAGGGGGTGGTATTGGCATCTAATATGTCAAGGCCAGGGATGCTGCTACACATCCCGCAGTGCACATACAGGCCCCACCACAATGATTCAGCCCCAAATAAGGCCAAGGTTGAAAAGCCCTGTCCTAAAGATGGGCCAGGTGATGGGGTGGCTTTCAGCATTGCTGTAAATACAGCACGCACCTGGGCCATTCAGTCCTCCCATTCAATCCTCTAAGAAGTTATGTATATTGTTTAGAATGTATTGGGGCTGGGAGCGGTGGCTCACTCTTGTAATCCCAGCACTTTGGGAGGCCAAGGTGGGTGGATCATTTGAGGTCAGGAGTTCGAGACCAGCCTGGCCTACATGGTGAAACCCTGTCTCTACTAAAAATACGAAAATTAGCTGGGCGTGGTGGTGCACACCTGTAATCCCAGCTACTTGGGAGGCTGAGGTAGGAGAATTGCTTGAACCTGGGAGGCAGGCAGTGAGTTGAGATCGTGCCAGCCTGGGCCAGAGAGCAAGACCCTGTCTCAAAAAAAACAAACAAAAAAATTATGTGTTGGTAGAGAAGGCCCCATAGTCTTAGGTTTAAAAAAACTAAAATTTCTTTAGGGTTTTTACTATCATCATCTTTTGAAATGTATAAACTGAAATTCATTTAGTATTTTTTTTTTTAATTTTCACATTAGAAAATCCAGGATCCAGAGCAAGACTGATCAAAACCTAAAACAGAAACAACTGTTAACAAATGTTGAGTCTCTATAATAACAACGTTTGCAGGCAAGTTAAATGCATTAAAATGACAGAACTATTAAAAATTTCAGACATCACTCCCTCATTTTATAGGCAAAGGCAGAAATGCTCAGTGACAAAGTTGGGGTATTAAAAAATATACATCCTAATAGTTCTCAGCTCCTAGGAAAAAGGAAGATGGTTCTTATTCTTACTTATTGCAGTGAATACTGGATTTATCCTGAGACTGTGTCCAAGAAAATATACAGATGCTTTTCGTTCTAGGAGACTGAACTTGAAAAGTTTTTTTCCCGGAACACCTCCGTATGCACAAATTTAGTACAAGAGTCAAGCCTTAATCTGCACAGTAATGGTGTTTAGACTGGTACAGTGGAAATACAGGCAAAACCGGATGAGGAAAAAGGCAAGGGAATTAAGATGGACTGGACCCAAGCAAGGAGCACCTTAGTTGACAAGTTGCAAAGGTAAGTTCTGAGAACCCATTCAAGAGTAAAGACCCATCATCAAATATCCAAATGCCAGCTCGCAGGCCAAAGTACTTCCATACAATTTTGAATAGTCAGTCATTCATTAGAGGGAAATTATCCAGCTTGTTATATTTGATCCGCTCAGTACATTCAGGAAAAACACAGATCTCTGTTGGAGTTCAACATACATTACCTGGTCATCTGCACCACAGCCTGTGTCTGAAAATTGTTCCCATCTTACAGGAAGAAATGACATTCTTGAGCCCTCCTTCCTGCAAATATCACATGATATTTGCCACCTAGTATTTCAAACGTCCCCAACCTGTGAAATATAGCTTGAGCCTTCAGAAACCCAGGCTACAAACCTTAATGCTGTCCTAAACAAAACCAACCCTCTGTTGAACAATTTCTCCTTGGGTTAGAGGAGGAAAATGATCCCTGATTCCCATGCATACATGCAGGATTAAAAGAGAATGTCTGGGAAGAGGCCTTGGATTCTTATTTTATTTATTTATTTTTTTTAGACAGAGTCTTGTTCTGTTGCCCAGGCTGGAGTACAATGGCATGATTTCGGCTCACTGCAACCTCCGGAAACCCGGTCTCTACTAATAATACAAAAATGAGCTAGGTGTGGTGGTAGGCATCTGTAATACCAGCTACTTGAGAGGCAGGGGCATGAGAATCACTTGAATCCAGGAGGCAGAGGTTACAGTGAGCCAAGATCATTCCACTGCACCCCAGCCTGGGTGACAGAGCGAGACTGTGTCTCAAAAAAACGAAACAAACAAAAAAAACCCCTAGGCAAACAGACAAGACATTACAAAGACCACTATGGAAGCAGATATTTACAAATACAGTCATATATTCTGTCTACTCCATCGTTTAGGAGACGGGAAATCCAGAGCTCAAGTCCAACCTACCTTAAGCAAATTCAAACTATGTCATTACAAAGCAGCTTAATGATTACTCATATCACGGAACGGTTCATCAGGACATGTTGTCTACATAGCAACATCAGTTGGCATTTAAAATATAACTCATTTACAAATGTTATTTAATTTAGATACAATTGTGGGAATATGAGTTGGGGTAAAATGAGGGTAGAGGAAGGATAGAGGGAGAAAGTAACAGCCCCTTTCCAAAGGTGTCTGGGGTTGAGGGTTTCCAAATATTAGATGCAAAGGCCAGAGGAAGCATCTGAGGTGATAATCACAGTGATCTTTTTATTTTTTTCCCAAAAAGTAATGTTTTTTTTTTTTCTGAGACAGAGTCTCGCTCTGTCGCCCAGGCTGGAGTGCAGTGGTGCGATTTCGGCTCACTGCAAGCTCCACCTCCCGGCTTCACACCATTCTCCTGCCTCAGCCTCCCGAGTAACTGGGACTACAGGCGCCCGCCACCACGCCCATCTAATTTTTTGTATTTTTAGTAGAGATGGGGTTTCACCATGTTAGCCAGGATGGTCTCAATCTCCTGACCTCGTGATCCGCCCACCTCGGCCTCCCAAAGGGCTGGGATTACAGGCATGAGCCACCCCTCCCGGCCCCAAAAAGTAATTATTCTTAACCTGCTTCCCAGGCTGGATTTTGTAGCACTGTGGCTAAAACTTCCAGACACAGAGATTAATATGAGGGTGCAATCTGAGGATATAGCAATCTGAACATGCAGGAAACGACAGACAGTGTATATGCATGGAAACAATCTGAGGGCGTGACACCCTGGACACACAGGGTCTCTGATGCCTCGGACATCCTGGACACAAGCTGGAGTTTCCTTTTCCTTTTTTTGAGGCGGAGTTTCGCTCTTATTGCCCAGGCTGGAGTACAATGACACAATCTCGACTCACCGCAACCTCTGCCTCCCGGGTTCAAGCGATTCTCCTGCTTCAGCCTCCTGAGTAGCTGGGATTACAGGCATGCGCCACCACGCCCGGCTAATTGTGTATTATTTTAGTAGAGACGGGGTTTCTCCACATTGGTTAGACTGGTCTCGAACTCTCAACCTCAGGTGATCCACCCGCCTTGGCCTCGATCAAAGTGCTGGGATTACAGGCGTGAGCCACCGCACCCGGCCTGGAGTTTTCTATTAAAGCAATTCTTTAGATCTTTGTTGCAAGAGCAAATGAGGCAGCAGATAGCTACCTGCTTCATTCAAAAGATCAGGAGGCAGTTTGGTCTAAACCAGTCCAGTATACTTAGTTTGAGGCACGGGGGTGGGGCCGAAAGGGCGCCTGCCAGACAGCTCTGGGCTGGCCTGGGGCCAGCATGGAGGGAAGGAGGCCCTTTGGATTCCCCACCTTCTGTGTGGCTTCTGCTGGGTGTGGACATGAGGCAGGCAGAGGCCAGGGCTGGCATGATCAATTGGCATTTTGTGAATGGCTAAGTAGCAGAAGCAGGTAACACATGAATATGGTGTTTTAGAGAATAAATCCCAACCCATTCACAGAGGTTCAGTTTTCTTCGGTTGTACTACAAAAAAAAAAGGAGGAAAAGAAGAGGAAAAACAGACTGACGGAGAGGAGAGAAAGAAAGAATCGGGGGTGGTGAGAAGTGAGAGAGAAGAAAGAGAAAGGATGGCTGCATCTCACGCAGCGCTTATTCCCAGGGGTTCTCCCGTGACCGCTCAGAGGATCCTGTGGGTAGAGACCGGAATGACAACTCTGCTCACTGTGAGGGATGGCAAGAGAGGTCTTGTGAACACTTTGGTCTCCAGCATCTGGGGCCTGTTTTCCTGCTTGGCCTTTTGGGTGATCACAGGAGGTCTTGGATCCTTGGCTTGGAATTTGGATTTGTAGTTTTGCACTCCCCGTTTCTGCAGAAGCTGCAAGGCAGCAAGATAGCGAACGTTATTGGAGTCTGAAGGGCACGCCAGGTTTTTCTCAGACAGGAGGGACCAGTGCAGGCAGCACTGCTCCGGATCGGCCAGCAGGGATGTCCGGGCCGCTGGGGAAGGGGAGGATGGCGTGTCGTTGACCACAGTGTGTTTGGCCAGCTCACTGGGTCTCTTTTCACCTTTCCCATCTGCTGTCTTCAAGCCATATGCACAAGCCAGACACCCATCCTTTTCCACACTCAGCACCTTCTCTTCTGACTGCAAGAAAGAGTTCTTACTCTTCTTACCCAGAACATCCAAGGCATTTGAAAGTGAAGCCTTCAGGGGTGGCAGAACTAGGAGGGCCCTGGAAGTCAGGGGGCCTGGGATGGACAGCCCTCTGTGGGCCCCTCCACTGGGGTTCCGAAGGGCCTTGCCCCTACTACTGTCCGGGATGGCCCAGTCTTCGGTGCACCAAATAAACTCCTTGATTTGCAGACTTTTTTTCTCTGTTCGAAAGTAGGTGGGAAAGCAGATGTTGCTAATCGCCCTGGAAGCGGTGCTGGGGCCCTGGAGGGCTGCCTGAGTCTGGGAGGGGCTGCTCTGATCCTTCTCTGGGCCCCCCTCCGTAGGAGGCTTGGTCTCGAGGCTCCTGTGGGCCAGGTTAAGACACACCAAGCAGTCACTGCAGGCACCTTCCCCTACCCTCGCCTTTTTTGGTAACTTCCTCGGCCAGATGCAGGCAGCTGGAGAAGTCCTTCCCCACCCTTGGACCTGCAAATAAAGCAGCATGTTACTCCCCCAGCCGAGGGGCCCAAACTGTCCCTGCTCCAATTTTGGCCACATTCCTATTTTGGCAGTCTTACCTGAAACAATATTCTTATTTTTATTTATTTTTTTACTACCCCTTCCCCCACCAATAACTTTCTTAAAATTCATTCACTTAAAAAAAAATTTTTCAAAGTTTCAAAGCATGAAAAAAAAGTGTAATATCTACTTTCACCCCAACAAAGTAATAACAGTATTTGTAATAGGATTTGTTAATCCTAAATACTAGCAATGGCATTTGTAAATACGAAAACACTAAGCAACAGTGTTTGTAAATGGCCACTTTGAGGTGCTGACTATATTTCTTTTCAAATGCACATTTAAATTCGAAGCTATTAAAATAAAACGAAAACCGCTCATACTTGGCCCACCAACAAGGATTTCGAGCACCGCCAGTCTCTGCTTCCCATACCTGGGGAACACTGTTGCTTGGAGAGGCTGGAGGGAGACCCGGGAGCAGAGGCAAGTCCTGGAACGCAGACGAGCCCTGCATACCCAGGGACACCTACTCCCCATCCACGCCCAGAGTCCTCTGGCTGATCTTGCCACAGAGATCACGGTTAAAATAGGGTTGCCGCCGGGCGCGGTGGCTCAAGCCTATAATCCCAGCACTTTGGGAGGCCGAGACGGGCGGATCACAAGGTCAGGAGATCAAGACCATCCTGGCTAACACGGTGAAACCCTGTCTCTACTAAAAAATACAAAAAACTAGCCAGGCGAGGCGCCTATAGTCCCAGCTACTCGGCAGGCTGAGGCAGGAGAATGGCGTGAACCCGGGAGGCGGAGCTTGCAGTGAGCTGAGATCCGGCCGCTGTACTCCAGCCTAGGCGACAGAGCAAGACTCCGTCTCAAAAAAAAAATAGGGTTGCCAGATAAAAACACAGGATCACATTTTGGACATACTTATACTGATAAATGAGGTGTTATCTAGTAATCCTATGTTTAATCACTGGATTAGACCAAGTTTTCTTATAGTTTTATGCCCTTTTTTTTTTTTTTTTTTTTTTTCTTATAGTTTTAAACATAGGATTCTATTATTGATTCTAAGAATTGTTTAAGAGCAAGCCTGCAGACCAGGTGCAGTGGCTCAGGCCTGTAATCCCTGCACTTTGGGAGGCTCAGGTGGGCAGATCACCTACGGTCAAGAGTTCAACACTAGCCTGGCCGATATGGTGAAATCCCGTCTCTACTAAAAATACAAAAATTAGCTGGGCATGGTGGGCACCTAAAATCCCAGCTACTCAGGGGGCTGAGGCAGGAGAATCACTTGAACTCAGGAGGCGGAGCTTGCAGTGAGCCAAGATCGCGCCACTGCACTCCAGCCTGGACGACAGTGAAACTCTATCTCATCGCGGGGGGAAAAAAAAAGCCTGCAGAGTTCTGAGTAGGAACCATTAGGATAGAACCTCAGTTCTCTCAGGGAGTTCAGCATAGCCGTTAAGAAGTCAGGGTTCTAGAGTTCAGGAGAACTAGATTCAAGCCCTGCCTTGGCCACTTACTGGCCGGGTGATCTCGAGCATGTTACTTTGTCTTCCAGGTGACTCAGTATACTTATCCACAAAGCAAGGCTGGGAATAATATTTGCCTCATATGGCTATTGAGAGGTTAGATGAATTAATGTATCCAAAGCACTTAGTACTGTCCTGTCCACATACTAAGTGGTCATAAATACACACAGTAGGTGCTGCTATTATCATCAGTAATATTTTACCTCGATTCCAGGGTTTCTACATGTCATTGATTCTACATTTTTTGGTAATATTAACTGTTTTTGGAAAAAAGAGGCTTGCACCAAAACACTAATGTGCAAGAGATAGAAAAGCTGTGACTCAGAAAGATACTCACTGCCTCTTCCCATCCCGTTCCAATAATAAACTCTTCGGCTTTTTCATCTTGTTCAAGCGTAATGTCACTGATATCGAGAAGACAATAAACATGATTCTTTTCACTTCTTCCATCTGGACAAGTACAGGTTGGTTCTGTTTCTTCTGTGCTTTGAATTTCATTATTTTCACCATTTTCTAAGTCAGTCTCATTTTTCTGACAGAGATCCATTACTGCGATGGTTGCTTAAAGTTTTTAACATCTTCTTGCTGTTTGAAAACATGAATAGAACTTCGTTTTTAATATTAATTTTTTTTAAAAAAAAGCAATTCAATACTCAGGTGAAATATCTTCAAGACACATTCAGGAATATGGCCAGCCGCGGTGGCTCATGCCTGTAATTCCAGGAATTACTTTGGGAAGCCAAAGCAGGCAGATCACTTGAGGTCAGGAGTTTGTGACCAGTCTGGCCAACATGGTGAAACCCCATTTCTACTAAAAATATGGCGGGCGCCTGTAATCCCAGCTACTAGGGAGGCTGAGGCAGGAGAATCACTTGAACCCAGGAGGCAGAGATTGCAGCGAGCTGAGATCGGGCCACCGCACTCCAGCCTGGGTTAAGAGAGTGAGATTCCGTAAAAAAAAAAAACAAAAACGGAAGGGAGGGAGGGAGGGAGGGAGGGAGGAAGGAAAGAAGGAAAGAAAGAAAGGAAACAAAGAAAGAAGGAAGGAAGGAAGGAAGGAAAGAAGGAAGGAAAGAAGGAAGGTAGGTAGGTTGGTTCAGGAAGAGACTGAGAACAAATATTACAAAACCATCCACTGCCAACCACTGGCACTATGAAAGATAAGGTAGCCAGGAGCAATGGCTCACATTTGTATTCTCAGCACTTTGGAAGGCTGAGGCTGGTGGATCACCTGAGGTCAGGAGTTTGAGGACAGCCTGGCCAGCATGGCGAAACCCCATCTCTACTAAAAATACAAAATTAGCTGGGTGTGGTGGTGCGAACCTGTAATCCCAGCTACTCAGGGGGCTGAGGCAGGAGAATCACTTGAATCTGGGAGGCGGAGGTTGCAGTGAGCCGAGATCGTGCTATTGCACTCCAGCCTGGGCAACAGAGCAAGACTCTGTCTCAAAAAGAAGAAGATATGAAGAGACATAGGGAGAAGATGGCCATCTATAAGCCAAAGACAGCAGCCTGGAACAGAGCCTCCTCTCACAGCCCTCAGAAGGAACAAACCCCGCCAACGCTTTGATTTTGGACTTTGCGAATCCAGACCTATGAGGTAATACATTTCTGTTGCTTAAGCCACTCAGTCTGTAGTACATTGTCATGATGCCCCTAGCAAAGTAAAATAGTAGGTGATGGCGATAATGATGGCGATAACCCTATCTACCATTAATGGATGTTTTTCTGGAAAATGCACTTGGCATTTAGAATCTAGACAAAGGGTCTGCAAAGTTGTAAACCTGATCAGAGCCAAAGAGCTGAACAGTTCCAGGCCTATTTATTGGCTGTGTCTCTGGAGCAATGACTTACTTTTCTGGGTCTGTTTGCCCATCTATAAAAAGGGCAAAAGTGGCTGGGCGCAGTGGCTCATGCCTGTAATCCCAGCACTTTGGGAGGCTGAGCTGGGCAGATCATTTGAGGTTAGGTGTTTGAGACCAGCCTGACCAACATGTGAAACCCTGTCTCTACTAAAAATACAAAAAAGTTAGCCAGGTGTGGTGGTGCACACCTGTAGCCCTGGCTACTCAGGAGGCTGCGGCCGGAGAAATGCTTGAACTTGGGAAGCAGAGGTTGCAGTGAGCCGAGATTGCGCCACTGCACTCCAGCCTGGGCGACAAAGTAAGAATCTATCTCAAAAAGAAAAAAAAAAAGGGCAAAAGCATAATACCTTCCTACAGATAGGGGCTCCTCCTGTGGACCCCACAGGCTGCAGAAATTAACTGGAATACGTGAGCAGTGACCACCAACGCTCTGGTTTGAGTGCTGATAAGCACCCATTGTCTTCTCAAGAAGTTCCTTGCTTGTGCTGAGAGAGAAGCCACAGGGGACACCCACTCCTTGCTTTCTCTCAGCCAAACATGACCCATGCCCGAAAACTAGTTTTTTTCTTTTTCTGTTTAGGAAGAGATCAGTACTTCTTATAACAAATCTGTTTAATTACCATTTTGACTTTTTCACATAGGCTTACAGTAGTTTTTTTGGTTTTTTGTTTTGTTTTGTTTTTTTTCTTTGAGACAGAGTCTCACTCTGTTTCCCATGCTGGAGTGCAGTGGTGTGATTTTAGCTCACTGACAAAATGTACAGGAGTCAATTTTGTATAATTTTAGGTTGGAAGTTGTACCTCCGTCTCTCAGGTTCAAGCAATTCTCCTGCCTCAGCCTCCCGAGTAGCTGGAATTACAGGTGTGAGTCACCGTGCCTGGCTAACACTACATTTTTATAAGTACTTTACTTATGTTATGACGGTTCATGAGGAACTGTATGGATTCCTAAGCTAAGAATCATCCCTGAGTCAATTAACACAGTATTATTAGTCAAAAGGTCAGATTACTGCATACCAGATCACCAGATGCACCTTCAGAACCCTGGTGTACTTCGGGCAGAATCAAGACGCTCCGCTACTAAAAGAGAATGCTGGTGGTCTTTTCCTAATTAAAAAGAAATTCAGTTAGTGGATAGAAAAGCTGTATTTTAAGTTTCCCTTCTCGAAACTTACTACCAAGTTGTTGTCTGTCTCCCTCCGGTCGCCCAGGCTGGAGTGCAGTGGTGTGATCTCAACTCACTGCAACCTCCGCCTCCCGGGTTCAAGCAATTCTCCTGCCTCAGCCTCCCAGGTAGCTAAGACTACAGGTGCCTGCCATCACGCCTGGCTAATTTTTTTGTAACTGTCAAGTTTTATTACCCATTCTTGTCTTCCAGCTCATGTTAGCAGATGACACACAGAAACGTACAAGAATCAATAGAAGATCAAAGAAAAGAGTGGATGTGTGATTCCTTGCAATTTGTATGCAGTTTTACTTTTATGTTGGAATGCAGACATCTATATTCATATAATATTTTCTGGTAGTAAAATTATGCCTGACTTACAGATTTGACGTAAATCAAGAGCTCATGCCATCCCATTTCTTGGCTTTCACTGAACTTTACAACCTGATTCAGTTTGAGAATCACCAGGATAAAGCATACATCAAAGTCCATACTAATGTTTTCCACCACATCAAGAAAACACAAAGATCACAATGAACATGTTGCCATGGAGACGCATTTGCTGATACAACTCTAAAATTGGATTTAGAGTACAAAGCAGGAAAGCTCAAAGATGTAGGCCAGAAGGCATTAAACTCTATTACACAGGCTATTAAAGTGATTAGAACCAACATGTACAAAAGAAATAGTTGACTCAGATCCAAGCCCCCGAAGTGCATGTTTGGATAAACAAGAATAAACCCAAAGAAAAATTGATGAAAGAACTTAATATATTTGGAAATGAAATAAATGAGAGCCTAAAAAATATAGCCTACGGAAATTTACCATAATCCAGAAAATATCTTTTCTAGCAGCATTTAAAGACAGACACTAAAAGGAAATGATCAGCCAAAGAACTGTAAAGTAGTTTATTTTCTTTTACCAATAATATGATTTGCTTCAAAATAATGTGAGGTTGAGGTTAGGGAGGGAATAATGAAACCAAAGTGCCCTTAAGTTCTGTTTGTTGTAGATGGGTATGAGGACATGGAGATTAATTGTACTATTATATTTTTATGTAAGCATGAAATGTCCCATAATAAAACTTTTAAAGCCATGATGTTATCGGAGAGCTTCAAGAAATGAAATGTGGAATAATGATAGAAGCCAGGGTACAATGAATTTTGACCTTAAGCAAACTGAAGTAAATGTGTTTTTTTGTTTGTTTGTTTTGTTTTGTTTTGTTTTGTTTTGTTTTGAGACACTTGCTCTGTTGCCCAGGTTGGAGTGCACTGGTGCAATCTCAGATTACTGCAACCTCTGCCTCCTGGGTTCAAGCGATTCTCCTGTCTCAGCCTCCCGAGTAGCTGGGATTACAGGCATGTGTCACCATGCAGGGCTAATTACTTTTAGTAGATCTATTTTTAGTAGAAACGGAGTTTCACCATGTTGGCCAGGCTGGTCTTGAACTCCTGACCCCAGGTGATCCACCCACCTCAGCCTCCCAAAGAAATGTATCAATGAACGGATAACATGGTTTGTGTAATTTTAAGTTAAAGACCTCGAACAAGGACTTATTGAAAAAAAAAACACAGATGTACAAAAAAGATGCATGAGATAATAGGATTTATAAAAGTGATTCAGAGGAACTCCAGAAATATTTGTCCAATTATTCTTAAGTCACAGTACACAAGGCCTTCTCATTGAATTTATTGAACGGCCAAAGGAACAGGTGTAAATGCAGAAAAGAACAGACATTACTATTTGGATCTGTGACACTATGTTGAGATCATGTAATTTGTTAATGAACTGAGAAGTACACAGACTATCAAATGCTCCTTTGTTATACATCTGACAAAGTTAATGTAGCTTTAACACCTTAACCAATCTATAATTCAGAGTACTTACTCCTGAACTGGATAAAGACAACCATTAAGCTACCACAGTCAACGGTAGAGGCATACCAGTTGAATACAGCAAAAGGACATGTTTTCTGTCATGTGTTGTATAAAAGTTAAAGTTGGAAAAGACGGGGAGAAATCAATGTAAACTGAGAACAATGAACATATCTCCTATTTACAAATAAGTAACACTGCCCAAAGAAAAATCTGTGTGGAAAGAGACCACCCGACCAAGAACATAAAGGAATTTCCAAAGGCCTGGTAGCTGAAAAGAAGTGAAGGGATAGCAGAAGAAATGACCATGCCATACAGTACAGAAAGGGCCTTTGTATTTCTTTATATATATATTTTTTGAGATGGGGTCTCACTATATTGACCAGGCTGGTCTCAAACTCCTGGCCTCAAGCGATCCTCTCATTTTGGCTTCCCAAAGTGCTGGGATTACAGATGTGAGCCTAGCCTTTCTTTGCATATATATATATATATACATATACACACACACACACACATATATATACACACACACACATATATACACTTTTTTTTTTTTAGACCAAGTCTCGCTCTGTCACCCAGGCTGGAGTGCAATGGCATGATTCTGCCTCACTGCAACCTCTGCCTCCTGGGTTCAAGTGATTCTCATGCCTCAGCCTCCCAAGCAGCTGGGATTTCAGGCACATGCCACCATGCCCGGCTAATTTTTTTTTCTTTTTTTTTTTTTGAGACAGAGTCTCGCTCTGTCGCTCAGGCTGGAGTGCAGTGGTGCAATCTTGGCTCACTGCAAGCTCCGCCTCCCGGGTTCACGCCATTCTCCTGCCTCAGCCTCCTGAGTAGCTGGGACTACAGGTGCCCGTCACCGTGCCTGGCTAATTTTTTGTATTTTTAGTAGAGATGGAGTTTCACCATGTTGGCCAGGCTGGTCATGAACTCCTGACCGCAGGTGATCACCCGCCTCGGCCTCCCAAAGTGCTGGGATTATAAACATAAGCCACCATGCCTGGCCCTTCATATTGTTTTGATAAAGAAGGTAATAATGTGGCTACTTTATTATTTTAATGAAAATAAGATTAGAAATGAATTTATTTAAAAAAAACAGAACTCTGATTTTGTGTTTGCTTGTTTTTGATTTATGTCTTTTTTGCCCCAGATAGGACTCAAGCTGCCAGGCTCTTCTTGAAGAAGGCTGCAGTGGGTACACTTTGAGTTAGGAGGACTACTATCCATCAGTCTTGACTTCCTAGCATTAGTCAAGACAGGCAAGGATGGACTGCAACAACAAGCAGCCCTATTTCTTTTCCAGTGGTTAAAAAAACATAGGCTTCTTTCTAACTCATGCTGTAGATTCATTGTATGATGTCTGGGACTCTGTTCCACATTGTCCTCGCTCCTGAATGTGAACTGACGGAGGCTGTGCCATCGGAAACCACAGCCCACTGTGATGCCGAGTGTGATGGCAAACATGGCTCTTAGATGTTTCTTCCTGGAAGTCACTCATTTGACTTCAGTTCGTATGTCATTAGCCTGGAGTAAATCACGGACATTGCCTAACTTTAAGGAGAAGCAGGGCTAATACTTCCTTCTACATCTCCAGGAGGAGTAAGAGGCCAGATTTTGGTGACTTCACAGAGCCTTGTGACTAGCCTGGTCAACAGACTGTGAGTGGAACTGATGTGTGTCACTTCCTGGATGAGGCAGTGAATAGGTAACATCCTCCTTCAGTTCTCTCTTATCTTCCCACGATGACCTTGGGGGTCACATGTTGAGTTAGCAGCACCACAGAATGGAAGAAGCCTAGATTTTGAGTCACAGCTTTGAGAAATGCCCCCATAAACCCTCATCAGACTGTGCATGGATGAGAAAAAGCTTAATGACTCCAGCCATGAGATTTGAGGAACTGCTTGTTGCTATACCACAGTCTGTCCTATAAAGGTAAGTAAAGTTACTGAGATTGTGTCAGAGCTGAGATTACAAGGCCAGGTGGGACTCTGACTGTGAGGGGTTGTTCATGTCATGATTATATCTGATGCAAAAAAAAGAAAAAAGAAAAAAGAAAAGCAACTAGCTATAACATACTTTTTATTGACTATTTTTTTTTATTTTTATTGAGATGGAGTTTTACTCTTGTTGCCTAGGCTGGAGTGCAAGTGTGTAATCTTGGCTCACTGCAACCTCTGCCTCTGGGTTCAAGTGATTCTCCTGCCTCACCCTCCCAAGCAGCTGGGATTACACACATGTGCCATCATGGCAGGCTAATTTTGTATTTTTAGTAGACATGGGGTTTCTTCATGTTGGTCAGGCTGGTTTCGAACTCCTGACCTCAGGTGATCTACCCGTCTCAGCCTCTGAAAGTGCTGGGATTACAGGAATGAGCCACTGCGCCCATCCTACTTCTTATTTTTTTATTTTTATGTTTTTGAGACCGAGTCTCACTCTCTGGCCCAGGCTGGAGTGCAATGGCGTGATCTCGACTCACTGCAACCTCTGACTCCCAGGTTCAAGCAATTCTCATGCCTCAGTCTCCTGAGTAGCTGGGATTACAGGCGTGTGCCACCATGCCTGGCTAATTTTTGTATATTTTTGTAGAAACGGGGTTTTGGCATGTTGGCCAGGTCGATCTCAAACTCCTGACGTCAAGTGATCCGTCTGCCTCAGCCTCCCAAAGTGCCCAGCCAATTATAACATACTTTAAAAAATAACTGAAGAGTTACATACTAAAGGGAACTAGCTAAATAGATTATTTAGTCCTCTAAATTATAGCTACCATATAGGAAGTCACATGATGCTAGCAGAAAAGGACTAGTTTCAGGTAAAAAAGGAAAATATAGTTGCTGTTTCACAATAGGAAAATATAAAACATAAAGTATTTTACCACTATAGAAGGGAACAGATATCTGTAGTTATTACGCTGTGTAAAGCCAGATTGGTATGTACCATAAATTCAGGCTAAAAGGTGACTATTAGAGATTGAAAGTCTCAGGAATACAAGTTCCATGTCTTTGGAGGACTAAAAATATGCTTAATTCAAAGATACAACTCTGATTAGAGGCAGAATAGTATATAAGGTTAATTTATGATCATGGAGAGAAAAATGGGTAAAAATACGTGTTGCAATAAGCTCTTCTAGAATGTTCCTGAAAGATAATGTGGTAGGCAGAATTCTACAAATTCTCTCCCCTCAAGATTTCCCACCCTAATCCCTGGGTGAACAGGATGAAATATAACATCCACAAATATTTTATATTACATGGTAAAAGGGACTTTGCAGATGTAATTATGGTTATTAACCAGTTGACGTGAAGACAGGAGATTATTTTGGATAATCCGGGTAAGCCAAATCAAATAACATAGTCTTCTAAAACAAACTTGTCTTAGCTAGCAGCAGCAGAAGTCAGAGATACAAAGCACAAGAGGAATTCAATGCATTGTTTCTGGCTTTGATGAAGTTGGGGGGTCACATCCCAAGGAATGTGGATGGCATTTAGGAGCTGAGAGAAGACCCTGGTTTACAATGAGGGATTAAACGTGGATCTCAGTTGCACAACTTCAAGAAACTGAATTCAGCCAACAGTCTGAATGATCTTGGAAGTGGGTTCATCCAATAAGAGTCCAGACTGGATGACTTAGGAGATCGTAAACAGATAACACAACAACAATAGAAAACTAATTCAATAATAATTCAGCTGAAATACTTCTGCTTAAGTACTTTCAATGACTGAGTGCTCATAACTTGACAAGAATTTTTTTCTTTCCATTGGAAGCTCTAAAGATTTGAATGATCTCAAATTAAGTCATCTGCAAATCTGCACATTTTGTTCCTCAGTTCTGGGTATTCTTCTCAAATACAAATCTGAAAACATCTGAAGACAGCTATTATTTTGTCAGATACAAATCTTAAGTTCCTCATTATCTTAAGAATGCAAAATTACCTGTCTCTTAAAATGTGGTGCCTGGAACTGAAAGCAATACCTCAAAAGTGGTCTGACTAGAAATGTCTGCTTTGAAATCTGACTCCTTTTGATCTGAAATCTACATCTATTAATTAAACAAAGTTATTATATTTTTTAAAAAGTATAACCCAATCTTTTTTATTTCTTTTTTTTTTTTTTTTTTTGACAGAGTCTCACTCTGTCACCAGGCTGGAATGCAGTGGTATGATCTCGGCTCCCTGCAACCTCCGCCTCTTGGGTTCATGCAGTTCTCCTGCCTCAGCCTCCTGAGTAGCTGGGACTACAGATGCGCGCCATCACACCCAGCTAATTTTTGTATTTTTAGTAGAGACAGGGCTTCATCATGTTGGCCAGGATGGTCTCGATCTCTTGACCTTGTGATCCGCCCGCCTTAGCCTCCCAAAGCGTTGGGATTATGGGCATAAGCCATTGCGCCTGGCCTTTTTTTTTTTTTTTTTTGAGACAGTCCTGGCTCTGTCACCCAGGCTGGAGTGGGGTGACACGATCTCTGCTCACTGCAACCTACTGGGTTCAAGCAATTCTCCTGCCTCAGCCTCCCAAGTAGCTGCGATTACAGGTGCCCACTACCATGCCCAGCTAATTTTTGTGTTCTTAGTAGAGACAGGGTTTTGCCATGCTGACCAGGCTGGTCTCAAACTCCTGACCTCAGGTGATCTGCCCGCCTCAGCCTCCCAAAGTGCTGGGATTACAGGCATGAGCCACCACACCCAACCCTATAACCCAATCTTAATTAACACTGAGCTCGAGGTGAACTATAACTTCTAGATTTTTTTTTTTTTTCACATGAATGGCTAAAAAGTCCTGTCTTCTTTACTCCATAACCATGCTGTTGATTTTATTTTCTCTTTTTCTTTTTCTTTATTCTTTTTGTGTTAGTTAGATGTAGACTCCAAATGCATCAGATCCTTGTAAAATTTCCCCTTTTGTTTTTGGACCATCATTAAACCTGCTCAGATAGTTCACAACCTAACTCTGACTTCCCACAGTTTGACCATTCCTTCTTGCTTGATGACGCCATTAATTTGACGAGGATACCTTCTGTATCTCCATCTACATCATGAATAAAGATGTTGAGAAGGACAGGTAAAGGATACTCCCCTCTGGATATCCCTTTCACTTGGATATTTGCTAATTACTCAAGTGCTGCAAATTCACCTTCACCTTACTCCCTATGCAATGATATGGCCTATGTTTCTAAATCTTTTCTACAGGATTCTAGATCCATCCATTTAGATAGTTTGTTTTTTTTTTTTTTTTTTAGAGGAACTTACCAAGAGTTATAGAAGTTGATCTCTCTCTCTCTCTCTTTTTGAAACACCTATTGTCTAGATCAGGGATAAAGAATACATTCTGGCGGAGTGTGGTGGCTCACACCAGTACTTTGGGAGGCCGAGGCCAGTGGATCACTTGATGTCAGGAGTTCAAGACCAGCCTGGCTAATATGATGAAACCCCATCTCTACTGAAAATACAAAAATTAGCCAGGAATGGTGGCTCATCCCTGTAGTCCCAGCTATTCTGGAGGCAGAGGCAGAAGAATCGCTTGAACGTGAGAGGCGGAGGTTGCAGTGAGCCGAGATCGCACCACTACACTCCAGCTTGGCTAACAGGGTGAGACTGTCTCAAAAAAAAAAAAAAAAAATTCTGAATTGTCACCTCCAAACGAATAGTGGCTACCTAGAGCGTTGTATTGAGAAGGATCTTACGATCTGACTACAGCAGGAAAAATTTCTGGGGTTGATTAATTATGTCTACCAGAAAATAAAAGAATGCCACATGTTTGCCAGTCTGTCTATACAATCAGATTACAAATATCTTACTGTAGATTCCTATACCTGGTTGACAGATTCCTAATTCACTAAGGGCGGGGAAATGTTGATGGACCAGAAGAAACCAAGGCCCAGGGTATTAAGTCAAACAAAACTGTTTATATCAAAAGCAGATAGATGGAAATCTTTCAAAACTCCTTATCAGCTTGCCCCAGCTTCTTATTGGCTCTGCACTGTGCCATACACCCTCATCTTCCTAGAAGCTATAGATTTAAAGGAATCTTAAATTCCAACCAGAGAAAGATGAGTTTCTGGCAGCCTCATTTGGAGTTTGAATGAACATTCCTGTGGGTCAGGTCTTTCACGACCTATGTTGAATGAAGGAATAATCATTAGAAATACTGTTAGCCATGGTGGAAGTTAAGTTTCTTAATACAAGACCAATCTTCACTTGTATGAACCAGTTAAATAGGTCCTGAAGACTGACCTGGGCATCCTGATCATGAACAACATAGTTTCTACAGGAAAATGAGGTGGGAGTCGCATTTACAAACACACTGGAAGAAACCGAAACTTTGTCTCAAAGTTAACCACCTGCGCCACCCAATTTGCACAATTTGTTTATATTTTCAAGAGCATAAATTTTATCCTCCTTGTTAATTATATATGCCTTCTGCTTATTATATGCCTACAGGTCACAGGAACCTCAAGTATTTCACAGAATGATGCCAAGGAGCGCCGTTTCTACACCATCCCTCCGGATCAGACCACATCTATTCCAATCCCAGTCTCAAACACTTCCCCTTTTTCAACTCCCATTAATGAATTCACTAAGTACTTAGCACTGAGAATAAAAAATTAAAGCAGCACCCGTCTTCTCTGCTCTTACACAGCTTACAGCCCACAGCAAAGCACAAGTCAGCAAACTCACGCGCTCCACCTGCCACCCCTAAAACCCAGGCGCATCACGCTCGGCTCCACCTCTTCATCTAGCTCCGCCTCTTCCTGCAGGCCCCACCCCTTTCCCTATCAGGCTCCTCCCCTCATTCCATGAGCCTTTTTTCCTCATCCAGCTCTTCCCCTTCCTCCGCCAGTTCCTACCGTGCCACAAAGACGCCAGCCCTTCTTTCAAGCTATCCCATTCAGAAAAGCATTCTCGATTGTCCTTTCGAACTCCTCCCTGTCCTCCGTCTACCCGCCCTTAAAGGGATCCGCCCTTAAGGGTCCGCCCCCAACGGCTCCTCCTCAGTCCCCGCCCACCGCCCCAGATCCCGCCCCCTCCCCAGGCCCCGTCCGCTCTGGGGCAGCCCCAGTCCTTAGTGCCTCTGCCTTTCGCTTCCTCGCGTCAGAGGGTCGCTTCCTTTCGAACGAGGCAGGGCCTCTCGCTCTGTCGCCTTTGGAGTGGTCCGGTGCCTTGCCCCAGGGATGGAGAAATGGCCGCTCACACCCACCTGTGGGGCCGAGCGGATGGAAGGCCTCGCGACAGCTAGTCCCGGCCCGTGGGCGAGGGCGACTCAGTTCGCTGCCTGCCGGGCCGTTGCCCTGGGTTACGGCCACGCTGGGGGCGGGACCGCGGCGGAAGTGACGTAGCCCAACAAAGCTAAGCACAGGCGGGGCGGCTCGTGGCACCTCCTGCCCGCTCTGGAAGCTGCCGCCGGAAGGGCCAACGTATGAGGGTCTGAGATGGTGGAGGTGGAGGCCTACCCGGGCCCTCGGGCCGGCGAGTTCCGTGGGAGCGCCCTTTTGCCTGCTAGGATGTTTAGTAGATGCCAGGGTCTCCCTCGGCTCCCTGAGGAACCGCCGTGCGCGTTTCCCATGGACACAAACTTCACAGGCCCAGAACGTCACGGGAGGACGCGTTGTGAACCTCAAAGAGCCCACTTACGTGACAGCACCGGGCCGACGGACACTCGCTGAACTTCTGGCCCGGAGCAGCACAGCTCTGAAGTGGGCACTGGCATCTTTTATACAAATAAAGGAAAGTGGCCCCACGTCCCTAAAACAACAGCTTGCTGAAGAGAGATCGCAAGGCATCCTTCACTGCAGCTCGGGTCTGACTCCAAAGCCCTCTGCTTTAGAAAGTGTGACTACTTCTGCTGTAGAAAACCGGTATCTAGGCCGGGCGCGGTGGCTCATGCCTGAAATTCCAGCACTTTGGGAGGCCGAGGTGGGTGTATCACCTGAGGTCAGGAGTTCGAGACCAGCCTGGACAACATAGCGAAACCCTGTCTACTAAAAATACAAAAATTAAGCCGGGTGTGGTGGCGAGCACCTGTAATCCCAGCTACTTGGGAGACTGAGGCAAGAGAATGGCATGAACCCGGGCGGCGGAGGTTGCAGTGAGTTGAGAGCATACCACTGCACTCCAGCCTGGAGAGCAAAACTCAGTCTCAAAAAAAAAAAAAAATCGGTATCTGAGTTCTCTAGCACCGTGATTGCTCCAATGAGACGGATTCATATATAATTCTATTCCAATTTTTTTCATACGTGTAAGCTTAGGTACCTTGTCCACATAAATAGGAAGTTGCAACTAAAAGGGGTTTTATTATAGTAGTATCTCAAGCTAGTAAGTATTAACCAAAAACATTTAAATGTTTTATCAGTTGACAATTTGTTTTGGTCTTCCTTCAGATCTATTGAAAACAGCTGGGCACCGTGGCTCACACCTGGAATCCCAGCTGAGGCAGGAGGCTCCCTCGAGCCCAGGAATTGAAGGTTGCAGTAGGCTATGATTGTGTCACTGCACTCCAGCCTGGGAAACAGTACAAGACCTTGCAAATTAGGAAAAAGTTTCTGGAAAGTATACCAAAAGTCTTAACTTAAGATTTGCTAAATGAATATTAATTCAACAACCTAACAGCAAGTACATGGGGGAAGTTGGAGGATCTAGAAACTGACTTCTCCTTCACACCAACGACTCCTGCATTTAGCAGGTAAAAGCCCAATAGCATGATTGAGTGGAAACATGAAGGGACAAGGGTTAGGCTAGTTATGTTTATAAAAAGTCAACAGAGATTGAGTCAAGATACCAGAAACTCTACTGTAGTAAGATCCCAATTTGCAAAAACAGAGAAAGGAAGCATACGGAACTGTACCTTCTCAATTTTGCTGTGAATGTAAACTTCCTCTAACACATAAAATTTATTTTAAAGAAAAAAACCCAGGAGTGGTGGCTTGCGCCTGTAGTGCCAGTTACTCACAGGGGAGGCTAAGGCAGGAGAATCACTTGAGACCAGCCTGGGAACTGTCACAAGACCCCATATCTATTTTTTTAAATTAAAGGGGGATGGGTGGGTGCGGTGGCTCACACCTGTAATCCTAGCACTTTGGGTGGATGAGGTGGGTGGATCACTTGAGGTCAGAAGTTCAAGACCAGCCTGGCCAACATGGCAAAGCCCCATTACTACTAAAAATAGAAAAATTAGCTGGGCGTGGTAATGGACACCTGTAATCCCAGCTACTCAGGAGGCTGAGGTGGGAGAATCACCTGAACCTGGGAGGTGCAGGTTGCAGTGAGCCGAGATCGTGCCATTGCACTCCAGCCTGGGTGGCAGGAAAGGCCTACTGCAGGGAAGAAAGACGAATTTAATCCTGGTGTAAAGAAAGGCACGTCTCTAAGGATGGGAAGGAAGGTGTGATTTGGTCTGAAAGAATACTGTAAAAAAGACACACTTGTAGTTAGCATAATTCTTTAAATTGTTCTCTTTTTAGTAGCCCCAGAAAATCTACAGAAATTGGAAAAATTCAGAAATTCTGATTTGCTGAGGAACTGATCTGAACGACCAGCCTCATTTTCATAGTAGTATGGCCATGCAGAGCTCCCTAGTGGTTTATTAAAACCTAAAGCTGGCCGGGCGCAGTGACTCACACCTGTACTCCCAGCATTTTGGGAGGCCAAGGCGAGTGGATCATCTGAGGTCACCAGTTCGAGACCAGCCTGGCCAACATGGAGAAACCCCATCTCTACTAAAAACGCAAAAATTAGCCGGGCATGGTTGTGGTCTGGGTGGCTGTATTCCCAGCTATCCTGGAGGCTGAGGCAGGAGAATTGCCTGAACCTGGGAGGTGGAGGTTGCAACGAGCCAATACGGTGTCACTGCACTCTGGCCTGGGCAAAAGAGTAAGACTCTGTCTGAAAAAAAAAAAACCCTAAAGTTAACAACTAAACCACCTGGGAGGTGATACCAGAAAAAAAATTTAACACTTCCTGGGTAACCTATTCAGTTTCTAATTTTAGTTACTAGAAAGCTTTCTTCAAAACTTTTATTAATCTGATCTATTAATGCCAAAACCATTCAAAAGGAATATGAGGTCATGAAAATTAAATTCCCTGGATTCAGTCAATTTGGAGGGCCATTCAAAGCCTGTATTTTTGGCAGCACTGTGACATAAATGACAGTAGATTTGGCTCTGTGTTCTAAATAGTGGAACAGCAAGTTGCCATATGTTCTACTCTTTGAAAAAAGAGGAGTTGTTACAGAGCAAGTATGTGTGTCTTTAGGAGGAAAAAGGAAAATAAACTGCCCACCTTCTTCAGAGACTATAACCACTCATGGACTTTAATACTCTAGAATGGCCACTTTTGCTTCCCACCTTTATTTAGAACATTCATCTTCCCCCTCTACCCAGAGATTCCCATTTAAAAAAAAGAAGAAATTTTTTTTATTGTTGGAGACAGCCCCCCCCCCCACGTCCCCCTCGCTCGTGCCCCAGGGGCTGGAGTGCGAGTGGCACCGGATTCAGCTCGCATGAGCTCCGCCTCCGTCGGGTCGCATGCCATTCTTCTGCCTCAGCCTCCCGAAGTGTGAGCTGGTGACTATAGGCGACTGCCACCGCACGCATGGTATTTTGAACACCGTTGGTGAAAATCCGTGTTAGGCCAGGGATGGTCTGTGATCTCCGCTGACCTCGATGGATTCCGCCCGCTCGGCCTCCGCAAAGTGCGGGTTACAGTGCATGAGCCACTTGCGGCGGCGGTCACCATTTAATATTTTTATTAGTAACTCTTGCTAAGGATAAGAGTGAGACCGAGGGAATGTAGAAAATCATTTACTGTACGACCAGCTATTGTAACAAATTTCTTGATTCCTATCACTTTCACTACCTGTGAAAAGCGGATAGGGTAGCTGTCTAGGAGAACTTTTCAAAAACAAGCAAGGTAATCTTATTGAATTAGCTCGTCCCCACTATTTTTTTTTTTTGTTTTTAAAGACGAAGTCTAACTCTGTCAGCCCAGGCTGGAGATGCAGTGGGGATCTGGTCACTGCAACTCGCGCTCCTGGGTTCAAGCGATTCTCCTGGCTGCAGCCTCCCCAAAGTAGGGGCTAGCACTAGCAGGTGCATACGCACCCATGCCTGGCTAATTTTTTGTCATTTTTAAGAGATGAGGGTTCTATTGGTGTTAGGCCAGGATTTGTCGGACTCTCCTCAGGCTCACTCGCCGCCTCGGCGGCCACAACTCCCTCCGCGCCCGCCCCCATTAGGGCGTGAGCAGCGCTACGCCGCCGGCCTATTTTTCATTGTTTTGTTCTCTGTTTTTTAGAGAGGAGTTTCGTCTTGTTTGGCGTCAGCCTCCCTGAGCAGCTAGGATTACAGGTCACCACACCCAGCTAATTTTGTATTTTTTGTAGAGACAGGGTTTCTCCATGTTGATCACGGTGGTCTCGAACTCCCAACCTCAAGTGATGCACCCGCCTCGGCTTCCTGAAGTGTGGGGACCGCCCCCAGCCATCCCCATCTATTTTCTAAGCAGACAGATCAATTAACCTGATTGATAATTATACAATATAGATAATCATCCAGGATACCTTGGATACTTTGAGACATGTTCTCACTGTCACCCAGGCTGGAGTACAGTGGTGTGATCACTGCAGCCTTGACCTCTCAGACTGATCCTACCTGCCTCCCAAATAGCTGGGACCACAGGTACATGCCACCATTCCAGGCTAATTTTTGTATTTTTGTAGAGATGGGGTTTCACCATGTTGCCCAGGCTGGTCTCAAACTCCCGGGCTCAGGAGATCCACCGAACTTGGCCTCCCAAAGTGGTAGGATTACAGGCGTGAGCCACCACGCCTGGCCAGTACTTTCTGGATAAGGGTACAAAGATATAGTTCAGCAGTGATATGGCTACTGGCAGAGTCTTGGCACGAACAGTTTCTTCATCTGAGGAGCAGGAAAGATTTGTATGTTATTTACCTACCTACTTTCGCTAGGTCCTTCTATTTGCTGTTTGTTCATCACCAGAAGGTGGTACTATATGAATACTTCTCTTTTCCTCTAGTAACTGAGGAAATGATACAGGAGTTTATCTCCTCTCGCTCTGTGTGTATGTGTGTATATATATGTGCATGTTCATATAGAACCCCCCACCCCAATACTGTCAGCATATTACAGTTGGTTAGAGTATGCTACATATTAGCTACTTGGAAATACCTTTTGGCACTCTAAATATGCTTAAGTTGCAAAGAATACTCACTATCAGAGTCCATTATCTGAGCTCATAAAGCTTCAATCTGTGTCCACTTTTATTCCCATGACTTAAGTGGAAACCTGAATGTGGTTTAACTTCTTAAAAATCCTATGTGCTGTACTGATCAAAACCTCCACCTTCCTTTGTCTTTCCTCTTCTTTCTTCGGGCCTCACATGATAGAAAATCAAAGTTGGTGATTTATTTTTTATTATGTTAAAGGTGATCTTGGCTTAAGAAAAACCAGATTCGTGACTAAAGGAAACATTTTCTTGGAGCTTTTCATTGTCTGGCTTAAATTTCCTTTAAAAAAAAAAAGTAACTTTCCCTAAGTTAACGTTAGCACTTTCACAAATGCTAGCAGAGTCACTAAATGAAATATTAACATCAAAACAAAAAAACATGATTAACGAAGAAGTATTTTATTATTTTGCTGCAAAGCTGTTGCTTCACCGTATAAAAATAGCACCAGCAAATGCAGTGTATTGCAAAATCAAGATAATGGTGTGTCATCTAACACTGTACAAGCAACAAAAACCTCTTCACTCCCAGTTATTTCCAATGGAAAGGTCATTAAGTATTTCATCCCAAATCCAGGCAAGTTACAGTATTAATAATCAAGGCTAAGAAAATAACAAACATTTACTCTTTTCGAACTACTGTTAAATTTTTAAACTAGTTTTTACCATGGATAAGTATAATGAATTTCCTGAACCACTAGAGCCCCTAGCTCCTAAAATCTATAATCCAGTTACAAAGTGATCAACGACATTTCCTTTCATTACACAGGTTAACCAGTAAACGTTTTTTTTCTTCCCCCAATTGTCGAACTGCTAATAATTGCTATTCTAAGGTTCTTCCTATCCACGCCACTAATTTAAGACAATCTGCTCGGTCTGCGGGGTATTCCATACTAGTTATTTTAGGCGTAACATATAACAACTCCTTCATATATAGTGTTCCACATCTTCTTCCACTCATGAAGTTCATCTAGTTTCTGAAGGGTTACTCAGTGTCATCTTGATCAGCCAACCTGCCAACCTAAAAACCAACCCTTAAATATTCCACATTTAACTTTTTTTCTTAAAAATCAGAATTTTCATCCAAAATGTAAAAATAAATTTTGAGTGCCCTTCAAATCTCATATTCCTTTACAAAACATAACATATTTGTTCATGGAACTTTAAAATTTTAGCCTTAAAGAAAATAAAATACTTTATATAACAAATGAAATACATTATACCTAGAATACGATTCCACCATAAAGTAATTTAAAGCAAACTCTTAGTTGTTAATAAGTAAAGCCCCAAGTATCAGACCAATGAACATTTAAATCCTTAGGGGCTGGGCAACGGTGGCTCAACCCTTAATATCAATACTTTGGGAAAGCCCAAGGCAGCAAATCACTTGAGGCTAGGAAAGCTCCTGGAACCCAGCCCTGGCCAACACAGTGGAAACCGCATCTCTACCCAAAAAACAGAAAAAAATAGCCAGGCCATGGTGGCGGTTCCCCTGGCCAATCCCAGCTACCTTTGGGGAAGCTGAGGCAAGGAAAGAAGTCTTTGAAACCTGGAAGGGAGTTTCAGTGCGCCGGAGATCAATGCCACGCACCTCAGCCCTAGCGACAGAGGGAGACCTGTCTCAAAAAAATAAAGTCCTTAAATATATGATCCAAATATAAAAGGCCAGGCATATTCTTTAACAAATCCGAACACTAACTTACTTGAGGTTAATGGATTAGAGAGCAGTTAGTAATTAGAAAGGACTAGGGTGACAGGCCATAAACGAGAACTACAATCTTAATCTTAAACTTTGCCGATTTATCAAGCATGTGCAACCCTGACAGGATAAAATCCTTTGAGCCCTATATGCTCATCTACAAAAATAGAAGAAAAATTGCTGTTTTAAAGCTTACCTCATTAGATTCGTATAGATGAAAAATGTGAGAAAAAACCAAAAAAAATTAATTGTAGAAAATACATTATTAATTTGTTATCTCCTGTGTTCCGTGTCACACATATATGGCTGCTTTTATTCTGAAAAAGTAACTTGGCAGAGCTGTTTACACCCAAAACCAAAAGAATCTACCAACTGATATCAAAACCCTTGCAAAATAAGGTAATGCTTTTTATGCACCAGAGATCTTTTTTTTTTTTTTTTTTTTTTGAGGAGGTCCTCGCTCTGTCAAATCTCAGGCCTGAGTGGAGTGGTGCGCGATCTGGCTCAACCAGCCAGAACCTCGCCAAGCCTTGACCTCCCAGGCTCAAGCAATTCTCCCACCTTCAGGCCCTCCTAGCCAACCTGAGACTACAGGCCACATTCCACCCACCAACCAAGCTACCATTTTAGTCTTTCTACAAAAAAAAAAAAAAAAAAAAAAAAAGAAAAAAAAAAAAAAGAAGAGAGAGACAGAGTCTCAACCATGGTGCCCCAGCTGGTCTCAACTCCTGGACCTAAAGCAGTCCAAACCCACCTTGCCTCCAAAAAGTGCCTCGGGAGCACGGGTGTGAGCCACTGGCCGCCTAAAGCCAGAAATCTTAAACATAACCTTTCAATGTATTCAAACTAAACGCTCCTGTTTTCCTTTTTAAAAAGCAAGGAATCATCTCTATTTTTAAGTAACCAAGAAGTAGAAAAAAAGAATGAGAAGTCACAAATCCAGCCTAGAGCTCTGCTTTTAAAATTCTAAGATATAATATTAACTGTGAGAAATTTCTAGCAAAAGCTTACCATGCTTCATAAGCAACCGATTTTGTTTACCCAAGTCCCTCGGTTTCTGCAAGAGCTTCATTAATTTCAGTTACTTGCTCCTGATAAAGGAAGAATAAGAGTTCACTAAAAGGCAAGCTTTCACAAACTTTCCAAAAGCACCAAACTCATCTAAATGGAAAGAAAAAATAAAAGAAAAAGAATGAAATGTATTAAAAGTCAGTGACCAGAAAACAATAAAATAGGAAAAAGTTAGAATCCTGTCAATATAGCCTATGATTAAATCCAAAATTTCTTTTTCTCTTTTCTTTGTTTGAGACCAGAGTCCTCCTCTGTCCGCCAGGCTACAGTCGCAACTGCGCCAATCTCCGGCTCACGCCACCCCTCCGCCTCACCAGGTTCAAGCGATTCTCCTGCCTCAGCCTCTCGAGTAGCTGGGATTACAGGCCCACACCACCACGCCCAGCTAATTTTTATATTTTTAGTAGACAGGGTTTCACTGTGTTGGCCAGGCTGGTCTTGAACTCCTGACCTTGTGATCTACCCGCCTCAGCCTCCCAAAGTGCTGGGATTACAACCGTGAGCCAATACGCCTGGCCTAAATTTCTTTAATTAAAAATAAAACCATACATTTTGTCAGGCTGTAATAACCCACGAGAAGGGTATGTATTGCCTCAACAAAGTGGACCTATCTGTGTGTCCCGGACACAGTGAATAACAAATGGTGATGTGCCTGAATGCCAGATGTGTGTAGGTTCAGTAAAACTCAATGTTCTTGCAACTTAGCTGTGGCTCAGAAAAAAACAAAATGAAAACTTTAGAATGTTCCAGTGACAGTGAAGTACCTTGTATCAGACCACCTTCCTGCAGATAACAATTATAAGCTCTGGACCGGGCGTGGTGCAGATAACAATTATAAGCTCTGGGCCAGGCATGGTGGCTCATGCCTGAAATTCCAGCACTTTGGGAGCCCTAGGCAGGCAGATCACCTTAGGTCAGTAGTTTGAAACCAGCCTAGCCAACATGGTCTCTACTAAAATACAAAAAAATCAGCTGGACATGGTGGTGGACGCCTGTAATCCCAGCTACTTGGGAGACTGAGGCAGGAGAGTCACTTGAACCCAGAAGGCGGAGGTTGCAGTGAGCAGAGACCATGCCATTGCACTCCAGCCTGGGTGACAGCATGAGACTCCATCTCAAAAACAAAAAAACACGATATAAAATTAAAACAAGTGACTTGAAACCATAAAATATAGAACTATGAAACATAAATATGAATACATTTAGTAATCCCAGCACATTGGAAACCAGGCCAGGTAAGTCCAACTCAGTCAGGGATCAGACCAGCCCTGCCCCAACCCGTGGAAACCCGTCCTATCAAACCTCTAAAAAAAAAAAAAAAAAAAAAAGTAAGCCTGTGTGGTGGTGTGTTGCCGCTAGTCCGGACTACGTAGGGAGGCTGAAAAAGGAAGAATTGCTTGAACCTGGGAGCGGAGGTTGCAGTGAGCAGTATCACACTGCATTCAGCCTGGGCAAGCAGAGCAAGTCTCCATCTCAAAAAAAAGAAGAAAAAAAACAGTTAAAAAAGGCTGGAAAGTTAACAGTTCACGACCTATAGAGACAGTATCAATGACTGACGAACACGTCTCAAAATCAGAGAAGACAAAAAAAAAAAAAAAGGGGATGATGAGAGAAAAGAAATCTTGAGACAAAAAGAAGTCCCAATTAATGAAAAAAATTCAATCTACAGATTCAAGAAGCTCGGTAAACCCCAAAAGCGGCCAAAGGTAACACACACTGTGTGATTCCTTTCAAATAAAGTTAAAGAATAGGGAAAATTAACCTATGGTGTAGAAACGAGAGATGTCATCTATTTGATTGGGAAGGTTTATTCAAGTGTATACATTTGTTAAAACTCACTGAATTGTACATTTCTGGTCCATGCATTTCACTGTATGTAGATTTTACATCAAGTTAAAAAACTACCTTTAGCAGAATGTCTTAAAAGGGTACTCATTAGTTTAAGGACATTATCTAACATATTGATATTAATAGACATTTTTTCTTTTTCTTTTTTTTGAAGCAGTCTTGCTCTGTCGCCCAGGCTGGAGTGCAGTGATGGGATCTCGGCTCACTGCAACCTCCGCCTCCCAGGTTCCAGCAATTCTCCTGTCTCAGCCTCCTAAGTAGCAATTACTTTTGCACCAGCCTACTACTTGGGTCAAAAGCACTCTAATTGGCTGGGCACGGTGGCTCACACTTATAATCTCAGCACTTTGGGAGGCCAAGGCAGGTGATCACTCGAGGTCAGGAGTTCGAGACCAGCCTGGCCAACGTGGGGAACCCCCGTCTCTACTAAAAATACAAAAATTAGCTGGGAGTGGTGGCACATGCCTGAGACACAAGAATCGCTTGTACCCGGGAGGCGGAGGTTGCAGTGGGCCGAGATGGTGCCACTGCACTCCAGCCTGGGTAACAAAGCGAGACTGTCTCAAACAAACAAACAAACAAAAACACTCTAATTAATCCAGGGTACAAACAATTTACTATTCAATGTAAAGATGAGGTAAAGAAAATTCATGGCATGGATCATTCCAAGATCCTAACAACACTCACCTTGTTTGTTCAATTTTGTCCCAACTTCAGGTAGACTACAGTAAACGACATCTCCCAATGCTTCCTAAATAAAACAAGACAAAACCAAAAATCTCTAAGAAATTAAAACTAAACCCTCCAGTAAACAGAACAAGCAAAACACTGAATCCCCTATAATTAAGATTTAGTACATATTTTATACTTGAGGGGCTACATTCTTGGGTTTTCCTTAAAATCCTTTAAACATGTAAAAACTACTTGGTCAGGCATGGTAGTTCACGCCTGTAATCCCAGTACTTTGAGAGGCCCAAGGTGGGCATATCACTTGAGGTCAGAAGTATGAGACCAGCCCGGTTGACATGGTGAAACCCAGTCTCTAATAAAAATACAAAAATTAGCCGGGCGTGGTGGTGGGCACATGTAATCCCAGCTACTCAGGAGGCTGAGGTAGGAGAATCACTTAAACCTGGGAGACAGAGGTTGCAGTGAGTTGAGATTGCGCCTCTGTACTCCAGCCTTGGCGACAGAACAAGACTCCATGTCAAGAATAAAAATAAATGGCTGGGTGCGGTGGCTCGTGCCTGTAATCCCAGCTCTCAGGGAGGCAAAGGTGGGAGGATAGCTTGAGCCCAGGAGTTCGAGACCTGCCTGGGCAATATAGCAAGACTGTTCTCCAAAAATAAGTAAAATAAAATGATTTTAAAAAACTATTCTCAACTCAGGAGCTGCAAGAGACCAGCCACCAGCCTGATTTGGCTCACAGGCTTTAGCAACCTGACAAAAGCCACATGCCCCAGACAACACTGCTAGCTCTTTGTTTTGTTTGGTTTTGAGACAGAGTTTCTCTCTTTTTGCCCAGGCTGGAGTGCAGTGGCCTGATCTCAGCTCACTGCAACCTCTGTCTCCCAGGTTCAAGTGATTCTCCTGCCCCAGTCTCCCAAGTAGCTGGGATTACAGGTGCCCCCCACCATGCCCAACTAATTTTTTAAAATTTTTTGCTAGAGACGCAGTTTCACCATGTTGGCCAGGCTGGTCTTGAACTTCTGACTCAGATGATCCACTTGCCTCGGCCTTCCAAATGCTAGGATTACAGGTGTGAGCCACTGCACCCGGCAAACACTACTAGCTCTTCTGAGCATGAACATATTTGGTGTTCTTCCACCTCTGCAGTTTTATGTACACCATTGCCCCCGATGCATTTGCTGAAATCCTGCTCACTGATTCTACAAATCACAGTCCTCACGCCTTGTACTCCCTGAAGTCCTTGACTCCAGAAAGAAGTGGTCTCTCCATCAGGTAAGTAAATTACAACCCCACCGTTCCGATGTCATCATGTAATGTTTGCAAGTCATTCTCATGGAGGTAATGCCCCTCACAAATAAACTCTAGGAGGTAAGGACGATCTTACACAACATCTCAAAAAATACCCAATACAGAGCCTCATAGTAGGTATACAGAGATGCCAAGGAAGATAGAATTGTCAGTGATTCTCAACACAGAAGAATCTTACATGTCTGAGGAATTTTGTACAGTCACATGCCGCCTAATGGCGTTTTGGTCAACAACAGACCACATACACGACAGTGGTCCCATGAAATTATAATATAGTTAGTATCACTTATCCAAAATGCTTGGGACCAGAAGTGTTTTGGATTTCAGATTTTGGAATCCTTGCATTATACTTAACAGATGAGCACTCTTCATCCAAGATTCTGGATTCCAAAATGCTCCAATGAGCATTTTCTTTGAGAGTCATGTTGGTGCTCAAAAAGTTTCCGATTTTTGGATTATTTCAGGGATTAAAGATGCTCAACCTGTACCATATTTTTACTGCACCTTTTCTATGTTTTGATAGACAATTGTGTTACGATTGACTACAGTATTCAGTACGGTAACATGCTGTACAGGTTTGTAGCCCAGGAGCAAAGGCTGTACCATACAGCCAAGGTGTGTAATAGGCTGTACCATCTAGGTGTGTGTAAGGGCACCCAGGAGGCTCACACAAGGACGAAATCCCCTAGGAGGCATTTCTCAGAACACAGCTCCATCATTAAGTGACACATGACTATATTCCCATCAGTTAACATCCCCCTTCCCCGCCTCACCCAATACATACATCCAGTTGAAAATCACTGACCACGCTAGTATTTGGCTTCTCATTTTCTCTTAAACATTATCGCCATATGGAATTGAGGGGAATTTACAGAGAAAAGATGGGCTAAATAAAAGCCTTCCCTTTGTGTAATCTGTGCCTATTGAGGTTTTCTTTCTTCCCATCCCGCTGGTCATGTGTGCATCACTGGACCCACAAAATGCTGGTAACACCCTGCTCTTCTTTTTCTTCTTTCCTTAAATGCCCAGTACAAAACACACACATTTCCTTCTTGAATAAGATGTTTTCTACTTTTAGTGTTAAGCTTGCAACATCTCTTAAAATACCACATAATGCCCTAACTACGTTTTACTTATTTCAACTCTGGTTGGTTTTCTTTTTTTTCTTTTTTTTTTTTTTTTCTGAGATGGAGTCTCACTCTGTCACCCGGGCTAGAGTGCAGTAGTGTGATCGCGGCTCACTGCAACTTCTGCCTCCCAGGTTCAAGTGATTCTCCTGTCTCAGCCTCCTGAGTGGCTGGGATTACAGGTGTGCACCACCAGGACCAGCTAATTTTTGTAATTTGCAGTGACATGATCATGGTTCACTGCAGCCTCAACCTCCTGGGCTCCAGCAATCCTCTTGCCTTAGCCTCCTGAGTAGCTGGGACCACAGGCATAAGCCACCATGCCAGGCTAATTTTTTTTTAACTTTTGGTAGAGATGGGGTCTTACTATGTTGACCAGGCTGGTCTTGCACTCCTGGCCTCAAGCAATCCTCCTGGCTAAGCCTCCCAGAGTGTTAGGATTACAGGCATGAGCCACCTCACGCGGCCTAAACACTTTTTTAAACGTAGAGATAAAGCAAATTATGCAAGAGCATACTGTCACAAATATTTCAATATAATCCAATACCTGTGCAAAATTGCTGATTCCCACTGTTCCAATACCATTTTCTGTTGTTATCCATTCATGTTTCTCTGTGAATTTACGCACTAAAACAGAAGACCAATACTTCAGAAAAGCAGCAGCATTACTTCTTAAGAAGCACTTTTCATTATCATTCCTTTCAAAAGACTTTCCCAGAATTTGTGTCTGACCTGTTGACACTACCTTTAAATAGTACACGGCCCAGGAAAGAACGAAGATCGTGTATAGAGATGACGCATTGAAACAGCAGTACCATTTAAGCAAAGATGGCTTGATCTGAATGCCGTGTGCATCTTTTGGAGACTGGATTATTTGCTTTAACATTACTTAGCCTAAATCACAAAAGAAAAATTTGGAGCATATTTCAAATGTATACTTAACTATTACTGGTCTGTCTTTCAAAAAAAAAAAAATCTGTCCCTCTGAAGACAGATTTGGGGTGATGAGGTTTAGGGAGATAGCATAAAGATGGCTCATATAAGAATCTATTTAACCTAAGAAATAATAACAATAATAAGGTGCCTCTTTAGGCAGAGTTGACCTAAGAGGGCTTCACTGCAGCTTGGGTTATAAAGTAAAATTTTATAGGAATGAAACTGACCTCCTGAAACAACTATAATATGACTAAGTTCTTAAAATTCTACTTTAATCAAATTCAAGCCTGACCTTGAAGACAGTACTACCATCACTTAAAGAAGAAAACTAACATCAGAACTCAGCAGTCTCCTCAGAGCTAAGCCATGAGTTGGTGGAAAGTGAAGCTCTGCTCATCATTCACTGGACAGGTTCAGCCCTTGACTTACTGAGCACTTCTCTAAAGATATGGTCAAACGATTCAGGGAATCCTGAAAGAAAGGCCGCCCAGGCCGGGCGTGGTGGCTCACACCTGTAATCCCAGCACTTTGGGAGGCTGAGGCAGGCAAATCACAAGGTCAGCAGTTCGAGACCAGCCTGGCCAACATGGTGAAACCCCGTCTCTACTAAAAATACAAAAAAATTAGCTGGGTGTGGTGGTGGGCACCTATAATCCCAGCTACTTGGGAGACTGAGGCAGGAGAATCGCTTGAACCTGGGAGGCGGAGGTTGCAGTGAGCCAAGATTGCGCCACTGCACTCCAGCCCGGGTGACAGTGTGAGACTCCATCTCAAAAATAAAATTTAAAAAAAAAAAAAAAGAAAGGCTGCCTAATGATGTAAAAAGAGTTATTTAGGATATAAAGTTCAAAGTACTTGCCTTAGAGGATATTTTTTAAAAAGCATATGCTATATTAAATATATTTCATGTTCTGACACCAAGTATTTTTCCAAAAACAACGTGACATAAGTTCATAGGAAAATGGTTAACTCAAATACTGTTCTAAAAAGCCCTCACTGGCTCATTTTACCCCTTACCCAAAAGATAGTTGTACTCAAAACAGCATTCAGTTGCTTTGGTTACAGCTTTGATATGCAGCACAACATAAGTAGAGTGTATAATTATTATTTTTATTTTTTATTTTTGTAGAGATGGGGGGTGGTCTCACTATGTTGTCCAGACCGGTCTCAAATACTGGGCTGAGTAATCCTCCCACCTCAACCTCTCAAAATGTGTGAGCCACCGCACCTGGCCAAGTATGTAATTTAATATTGCTTTCTTTTCCCCCTAATTATGAAACTTTTTAAAGTTCATATCCTTCAGTGGAAGAAGTCAAAAAAGGTGTCACTAAGAAATTTACTTTTTTTCATTCCACTTCAAAGAACTGAATGTTTCAGGTCAATCTGATGTTCAGGTAAGAAGGTTTAAGACGTATACACTGTGTTCTGACTGAAAGACTCTCCCTACCACCTTTACTAACTACTTCAGGTCTAGATTTGGAAGCCCGTTCCTGCCCAAAGACTTGTCTAACCAAGCCTGGGTTCCGGGGCCAGTCAGCATGCTCTCACGGTACCTTACACCACTATTCCCCACCACACTCACAGTGCTGAACATGCTAGAGAGTTCATCTGTCAGTCTCCCCAGGCAGTAGACTGTGTACCAAGCAAGAAACAGCAGGGTTTATCCTATTTTCATTTGTTTTCCCAATTCTAAATACAGTGCTTGCCACATAGCAAGCACTCAAAAGCTGAGGGAATGAAATAATTTGTTTTCCCTTAAATTATCATGTTGCAGGCCAGGCACAGTGACTCATGCGTGTAATCCCAGCACTTTGGGAGGCCGAGGAGGGCAGATCATCTGAGGTCAGGAGTTTGAGCCCAGCCTGGCCAGCATGATGAAACCACGTCTTCATATCCTTCAGTGGAAGAAGTCAAAAAAGGTGTCACTAAGAAATTTACTTTTTTTCATTCCACTTCAAAGAACTGAATGTTTCAGGTCAATCTGATGTTCAGGTAAGAAGGTTTAAGACGTACACACTGTGTTCTGACTGAAAGACTCTCCCTACCACCTTTACTAACTACTTCAGGTCTAGATTTGGAAGCCCGTTCCTGCCCAAAGACTTGTCTAACCAAGCCTGGGTTCCGGGGCCAGTCAGCATGCTCTCACGGTACCGTACACCACTATTCCCCACCACACTCACAGTGCTGAACATGCTAGAGAGTTCATCTGTCAGTCTCCCCAGGCAGTAGACTGTGTACCAAGCAAGAAACAGCAGGGTTTATCCTATTTTCATTTGTTTTCCCAATTCTAAATACAGTGCTTGCCACATAGCAAGCACTCAAAAGCTGAGGGAATGAAAAATTTGTTTTCCCTTAAATTATCATGTTGCAGGCCAGGCACAGTGGCTCATGCCTGTAATCCCAGCACTTTGGGAGGCAGAGGAGGGCAGATCACCTGAGGTCAGGAGTTCGAGACCAGCCTGGCCAGCATGGTGAAACCACGTCTCTACTAAAAATACAAAAATCAGCTGGGTGTAGTGGTTCATGCCTATAATCCCAGCTACTTGGGAGGCTGAGGCAGAAGAATCACTTGAACCTGGGAGGCGGAGGTTGCAGTGAGCTGAGATTGCATCACTGCACTCCAGCCTGGACGATGAGCAAAACTTCGTCTCAAAAAAAAAAAAAAAATCATGCTGCAGAATAAAATGATCTTTTAAAGTTTATTAAGAGGATTCTGAGCAGAATAGATGGTATACAGTTGTCTATAACACTTAATTCTCTCACTCTGTTACAAGTCTAGAACTCGCCAGTTATATGCCAATTATGAGCAGTCTGAAGCTAATACACCTTTTCAAAGTAAGTGCCAGACCACTATAAATATTACCTGAGACTACCATCTTTGACCTTGCCATCTTGCCCATCTGTGAAGATAATTTTAGGATTAAGGCTGCTGTGACACTCATTTTAGCAACCGAGCAACCCCAAGTTTAGAGGGAGACAGCAACATTACTAAGCTCAATACCCCTCAGTCCTGGCCAGGCGCAGTGGCTCTCGCCTGTAATTCCAGCACTTTGGGAGGCCGAGGCGGGCAGACCACCTGAGATCAGGTGTTCAACAGCAACCTGGCCAACATGGTGAAACCCTGTTTCTACTAAAAATACAAAAATTGGCCAAGTATGGTGGCGGGCACCTGTAATCCCAGCTACTCGGGAGGCTAAGGCAGGAGAATCACTTGAACCTGGGAGGCAGAAGTTGCAGTGATTCAAAGTCCTAAGTCTTTATTTTAATACGCATGCTGTTTAGGCTAAAGATAATGATTAGTACAATTCTCCTTTAACCCTTGGCCCGACAGAAAGAAGTGGATAGATTAGGTAAATAATTACTTTCTTTTTTTGAGACAGAGTCTCACTCTGTCGCCCAGGCTGGAGTGCAGTCGCGCGATCTCGGCTCACTGCAACCTCTGCCTCCCGGGTTCAAGTGATTCGGCCTCATCCTCCCAAGTAGCGGGGATTACAAGCACATGCCACCACGCCCGGCTAATTTTTTGTATTTTTAGTAGAGATGGGGTTTCACCCTGTTAGCCAGGATGGTCTCGATCTCCTGACCTCGTGATCCGCCCGCCGCGGTCTCCCAAAGTGCTGGGATTACAGGCGTGAGGCATCGCGCCCGGCCTGGTGCTTTAATTTTAATAAGCGCTTCTGCTTTAATTTTACTTCGGAGTTCTCAGTAACGGTCCATTTAGTAAACTAAAGGCCTCTCCATTTGGGGTCTTAACGATGCATGCAGATGGGAGATAAACTAAGGCCACTGAGACGCTTAAGCGACACGTGCCTGGCTTCTGCAGCAAGCGGCCGACCTGCCCGCGGGACCGGCCGGGCCACCCCAGCTTCGGCGTCCCGCAGGCCTCCCCTCCCGGCGGCAGGCAACCCCTAGGGCAAAGGCTGCTCGCGGGACCTCCCGCTACTTAAGAGGGAGAAGCGGCCGCAGAGCCGGGGATCCCAACAGAAGTAAGAAAAGGGCAGGGTCCGTGCTCGCTCCGCACCGGTGGCTCAGGAGCGGGGCCCAGGCGTCCTCCGAGTCCAGCTGGGCCCGGGACAAGCAGCCCAGGTGGGGAGGGAGCAGCCGCCCACTTCTCCGCCGCGCTTACCCGAGAGCAGAGCGGGTCGCGTGCGCAGTGTCCGAACGGCGCCCGCCCCCAACTGCCAGGGCCTCAGCGGGCAGGGCGCGGCGGGTGACCGGACCGCGCGCAGGGTGCAGAGCAGGTCCCGCACGCTCCGCACCACTCGCAGCGCCATGTTCGCAGGGACGGGGGTCGCAGCGCTACGCCTCGGCCACCCGCGCCGGGAGGCGGGGCGGGGAGGGGCAGTTCGCGGCCGGAGCAAGCCGGCTGGACAGAGGCGCGGAGGCGGTGCCGCGGGGGCGGGACAGAGCCTGATTGGGCAGCGCGCGGAGGGCGGAGACTCCCAGGCGAGGGGGCGAGGCAAGGTCTGATTGGCCAGCACGCGGAGGCCGGAGACTCCAGGGCCTGGCGCGACCTCGGATACGGCGACGCGCAAGAGGGGCGTAAGAGGGGCGTGGATATGGGGGAATAACCTGAGGCCCGGAAGAGGCAGCACTGAGGGGCGGGGACTAGCGCGGCGGGCCCGGGTATGATTGGGCTCCCCGGAGGAGGGGGCGGGGCCTAGCCCCAGGCGTGGTTTCCTTTCCACATGTGGATCTGTTTCACTGTCTCAGGCACAATTTTGCAAAGGTAGTTTCACCACCACACGAAGGAATTCAAGAACAAGTCGGAAAATCGTGAAAGTACAGAGATTTACTGGAAAGTACACACTCAAGAAAGGGCGGACTCAAGAGAGGGCCACACAACGGGGCTTGGGGTTTCCGTCTTTATGGGTTTCTTTAAGAAATGGATATGCACGAAGGTTTCTGGAATAAGGTGGAGACTTCTCAGAACTGTGGTGCCACCCATTTTTACACCAAATATGGGTGTTCCCGGAATTGTCATGGTGCCAGTGGGTGTGTGACTTAGTATGTTAATGAGTACCAGGTGAAGCCTAGGTCAAAGCCAGCGCCACGTTGGGTCCAGTTGGTTTTAGCCAGCTTAGCCCACACCCTGGTTTTTCAGGGTCTTATCAGCCCATAGCTTGTGTAGCTATTTCAACAGTTTCCTTTTGTTAGGTAGAACTGCAGCCTGGAAGTTTCTATTCTCCTGCAACCACTCTGTATCGTTCCTGTCTCAAAGAGTCCCAGGGACCCCAAACAGGACCGGCAGAATCCAGAAGCTTACTTAAAGAGGAATAAAGACTTGTCCAAGGGTCAGAAGTGCCTTCTTGGTGGAGACTGGACCCAAGCCAGTCACTAATGCAGAAATATTCAAAACGCAGAGAGCTGAGACCCAGTGTGCACAACTCCTTGTTTCATCAGCCAGCCGTGTGACCAAAGCCTTCCGAGAAAAACTGAAGTCACCATCCCAACCCAAGAAGTCAGGAAAAATTAGGTTCTGGGAAAGACCTCACCTTTAACACAGATTTTATAGAGTGGCCATGAGTCAGCAAATAAATACTGTTGTGAAAAACACCTTAAGCTCCACACACACCTTTAGTACTGTTACCAGAAAGGGCTCCCAACCCAGACCCCAAGAGAGGGCTCTGGGACCTCATGCAAGAAAGAATTTGGGGCGAGTCTATAAAGTGAAAGCACGTTTCTTAGATAAGTAAAGAAAAAAACGAATGGCTTCTCCGTAGAAAGAGCAGCAGTATGGCTGCTCAACTGAGTATACTTAATAGTTATTTCTTGATTTTATGCTAAACAAGGGGTGGATTATTCAAGAATTCTCCAGAAAAGGGGCAGGGATTTCCTAGAACTAAGGGTTCCTCCACTTTTTAGACTATAGGGTAACTTCTGGACGTTGCCATGGCATTTGTAAACTGTCATGACGCTGGTGGGAGTGTTGTTTTAACATGCTAATGTATTATAATTAGCATATACTGAGCAGTGAGGCCTACTACCAGAGGTTGCCATCTTGGTGAGTTTTGGCCAACTTCTTTACGGCATCCTATTTTATCAGCAGGGCCTTTATGACCTGTATCTTGTGCCAACCCTAGCTCATCCTGTGACTAAGCGAGGCAGGTGAATCACTTGTGATCAGGAGTTTGAGACCAACCTGGCCAAAAAGAAGAGACCCCGTCTCTACTACAAATCCAAAATTTAGCCAGGCGTGGTGGCAGGTGCCTGTAATCCCAGCTACTCAGGAGGCTGAGGCACGAGAATCACTTGAGCCTGGGAGGCAGAGGTTGCAGTGAGCTGAGATCACACCACTGCACTCCAGATTGGGTGACAGAGCGAGACTCTTCTTCAGAAAAAAAAGAAAAAGAAAAAGAATGCCTAACCTCCTGGGAATGCAGCCCACCAGGTCTCAGCCTCATTTTGCCCAGCCCATATTCAAGATGGAGTTGTTCTTGTTCAAACACCTCAAACAGTACCACAGGGTGCACACCGTGGAGTGTGTGTGTGTGTGTTTGGGGAGCCATATGTTGTTGCACTGAGCTTCTGCCCTGCTATGAACTTAGGGTTGCCACCACATCTATGCAGTGGCTTGCAAGGGCCGTCATGCCCACTTTTCTTTGAGCAAATCATTCCCGTCTATTGAGGCTTTGCTATGTGCTTGGCACTATGCAAACATCTTTTTAATCCTCTCCAAACCTCTTTCTGGCAGATGTTACGCTTATTTCATAGATGAGACTCAGAGGTTAAGGCACTTCCCAGCAGTGGGATCAGGGAGGCGTTTTGTGGCTTAAGTAGCTCCTAGGTAGCAGTAGTAGACCTTGGCCTCTACGCTGATTAGAAAGCAATTGTTCTCTTTTTTGTTTTTTTGAGACGAAGTCTAGCTCTGTGCAGTGGTGTGATCTTGGCTCACTGCAACCTCTGCCTCCCAGGTTCAAGCGATTCTCCTGCCTCAGCCTCCTGAGTGGCTGGAACTACAGGCACACGCCACCATGCCCGGCTAATTTTTGTATTTTTAGTAGAGACAGGGTTTCACTATGTTGGCCAGGCTGTTCTCAAACTCCTGACCTCATGAGCCGCCTGCCTCAGCCTCCCAAAGTGCTGGGATTACAGGCGTGACCCACTGCGCCTGGCCTTTTTTTTTATTTTTTGAGATGAGGTCTCCTTCTGTTGCCCAGGCTAGAGGGCGGTGACACAATCACAGCTCACTGCAGCCTCTACCTCTCAGGCTCAGATGATCCTCCCACATTAGCCTCCTGAGTAGCTGGGACTACAGGAGTGCAGCACCATGCTCAGCTAATTTTTTTAAAAAAAAACTTTGTAGAGACAGGGTCTTGCTATGTTGCCCAGTGTGGTCTTGAACCCCTATATTCAAGCGATCTGCCCCCTTGGCCTCCCAAAGTGCTGGGATTACAGGCATGAGCCACTGTGCCCGGCCAGCAACTGCTCTTAAGCTCTGCTCCACTTGCCTTCATTGACTGGATCACACTGGTCTACGCTGCCCTACAGATCTTGGCTATCTTCTCTAATGTCAAGATTTTGTTTTCTATTGTTGTTTCATTACAAGCCAGTGCAGCATCAAGCCACTTACCCCCTAACATATTTATTCGCAGCTCCACTAACTCATGATGGAAAGAAAAAGATCGCACATCAACATCAACATATGGGCTACAAACAGGCCCTTCCACCAAAAAATACGAGGTGTGCTTTTTTTTGGTAAAAAGCATTGAAGACAGTGAAAATTTTTTTCCCGTTTCAACCTAATAATCTTTGTAACCTCCTGGTTTGAGATTTTAAAGGTCATCTCATTGCCCATTTAGTATAAGCACCGGAAAATTGCAGGTGGTTTTGTTTTTTCTTCCAGGTGTTTTGAGAGGGGCTCATTCATCTCTTTGAGCTGATAGACATCTTTTCCTCTTATAACAATACAATAGACCGGGTGCAGTTGCTCACGCCTGTAATCCCAGCACTGTGGGAGGCCTAGTGGGCAGATCAGGTGAGGCCAGGAGTTCAAGACCAGCCTGGTTAACATGGTGAAACCCTGTCTCTACAAAAAAATGCAAAAATTACCCAGACATGGTTTTGTGTGCCTGTAGTCCCAGATGCTGGGAAGGCTGAGGCACAAGAATCACTTGATCCCGGGAGGCAGAGGTTGCAGTGAGCTGAAATCATGCCACTGCATTTCAGCCTGGGCAACAGAGTGAGACCCTATCTTAAACGAACAAACAAAAACAGAAAACTTTTATAACCCAGTATTCCCCATATTTATTTGACCCAGAGATATTTTTGGAGGAATGACACCTGTTCTGGATTGAATTGTGGCTCCTAAAGAGATATGCCAAAGTCCTAAGTCCCAGTTCTTCAGATGTGACCATATTGGAGAACAAGATCCCTGCAGATGTATTATAATTAGTTCAGATGAGGTCACCCTCAACTAGGGTGGGCCCCTAATCCAATATGGCCGTTGTCCTGAGAAGAGGAGAAGGAACACAGGCTGTCAGCAAGCTTCTTCCCATCTGAGAGTGATGCATCTAGAAGCCGGGGGATACCAAGGCTTGCTGGCCAACCCCAAAAGCTGGAAGAGGCAAGAAGGATTCTTCCCTACAGCCCTCAGAGGGAGCATAGCACTGCCAACATCTTTTTTCCTTCTTTTCTTTCTCTTTTTTTTTTTTTTTTTTCTTTTTTTGTGAGACAGAGTCTTGCTCTGTCACCCGGGCTGGAGTACAGCGGTGCCACCTAGACTCACTGCAACCTCCGCCTCCCAGGTTCAAGTGATTTTCCTGCCTCAGCCTCCTGAGTAGCTGGGACTACAGGTGTCTACCACCACACCTGGCTAATTTTTGTATTTTTAGTAGAGACAGGGTTTCACCATGTTGGCCAGGCTGCTCTCAAACTCCTGGCCTCAAGTGATCCGCACGCCTCAGCCTCCTAAAGTGCTGGGATTATAGGCGTGAGCCACCGCGCCCGGCCACTGCTAACATCTTGATTGCAGACTTCCAGGCTCCAGAGCCGGCACAGAATACATTTCTGTTGTTTTAAGCTACTCAGTTTGTGACACTTTGTTCTGGGAAACTAATACAGCATCCATTAGCATCTCTCGGACAGTTTGAGAAGCCCTGAACTAGAATCATTCAAAAGCAATCCCCAATGGACCAAAAAGACGAAATAATTAGTCTGTGGAGGAAATTGTTTTTCCAAACTCCAGGTAATATTTGTTTTATTCCTAATAAGAGGAAATACATTTGAACAAACAAGCTCTCATAGTATTGGCAATTTTATATATGTCTCTGTTATTCTAATTTTTTTTACTTGCTGGGCTTGGTAATTCTTCAATGGACACAAAAGCTATGACCTAGAGAGACTACAGAGTTACTGGTAAGTGCAGGTCCG